TACTGGAGCAGACAGCCCAGCCCAGCCCAGGACTGGAAAGCATGCTGGGGGACTGTGATTTAACTTGAAAAAGGAAGAGGTTGGGGACAGAAATTTCATAAACTGGTTTGACCCAAATCAGTTCAGTCTGATACTACATTCAACCAGGTTTATCTTAAACCAGTTTCAGCCATTTTGAAACTGGTGTATTTGCACTGAGCTTCTGTTGTGTTATAGGTTTAAACCAGTTTCTGATGACTTAAACCGGTCTGTGTGTAACTTCTGTCCCTAGCCAACTGGTCCACGTTCAACTTGCAGGCAGTGGACCTTGTTGCAAGTTTGCGTGCAAAGCTGAGGAGCCTTCTCCTATCAGATTTCTGTTCCCCCTGTCGGCACTTACAGACCAATCGCCATCTCTTTGATGAGATGGATGGATCGAGCTCCTGGCGCTCACTGCTGCACAGCATGTGTTCCGATGCTTCAATCAGTCTTGTGGCTCCTCCTGAGCCCTCTGCAATTCTTAAACATCCTTCATGAACTGACATCTGCACAGGACACGCCACGGTATTCCAGCAGGGGCCACGACAGTGCCAAAAACAGAAGATAATACAAATTCCCTATGGCTACTTGATATCCCCTTGTTTACACACGCAAGGACCACAGTAGCTCTTTTGGACCCGGCAGTGCTCTGGGAGCTCATATTTAGATGACTGAAAAAGCCTGAGGGGTCAGAGCTGCTGCTTCCTGGGATAGGGTACCCCATCCCCCAAGTATGGCTTGCACTCTTTGATCCTAAATGATTTTACATTTGACCATATTGAAACGCATGCTGTTTTAGAAGCAATAGCTTTCATTAGTCTCCCTGGATATTAAGCTGAAGAAATTCAGCTATCTACCCAGAAGCTGCGCTTTCAAAAATTCCTCAACTAATCCACTCTGGCACCTGTATCTCTAGTGGCCACGTGTACTATATGATTGCAGAACTGGGGAAGGGGAGAAGACCTGTGGTAGGGAAAACTCAGGACTCCACTCTACATCACCTTTACAGAACAGCTTTGGGAGGTTTTCACGAAGCTTCTCCCACAAGACTGACCAGGCTCCTTCTTCCTGTATCAACCCCCTTCCAATTCTTGATCCTGGCTGAATCCTGCACCACCCCACACCACGGGGGCACAGAAGTTCCTTTTCTGTCTGCAAGTTTTCTAAGGCAGTCTGCACTAGCAGTATTCGGCAAAAGCACCGAATCTAATCTTTAGCAAACAGGGGAAAGCACGTGTCCTTCCCCAGACACTGCAGAAATAGTTTGGAAGCACAAAACCAGTAGTCAGCGATCTAGCCATAAAAACATTATTCCTTCCCAATTTTCTGCTCACCTCCTGGGGGCCAAGACAAAATTCTGGCAGTGTAAGACAGACCCAAATGTTATCTCTAACAGCCCATTTATCGACTGACCAAAAACAGGCAGTTTAACAGGAACAAACTGAAAGGTCATAAATGTATGCAGTCTCACCCTGTAAGTGGCATGTTAGGCTGAAGCTCCCAAGCAACATCCAAGAAGCAGAGGCATGGAGAAGGGGGCAAGGACACAGCCAGGAAAAATCCCATAGCAAAATAGGACAAGAAGATATAAAGTTACCACAAAAATTAAAAGAAAAGAGCGGTAAAGAAACAGATTTCAAACCAGAAGAGAACTGAACAGAGCAAGAGTGATCAGGGAGTGAATGTTATGCTGGTGTTGGGAGGACAGATGTAAATCAGTAATGACCACACTAGCTTTAAGCTTGTTCTGGGAGAGATGGTCCAAGAGGTCGATCCTTGCTAAGGATTTTCTCCAAAACCTTGCTAAGGAAGCAAAACTGGAGGCAGGGTGAAGACAGGTAAATTTGCAGCCTCCCAAGAGCACGGGTGGGCAATCCCAGCACAACGAGCAGGTGCTACGAAGGGAGGCAAGAGGTGTTAAAAGCAAACTTGATCAAGAGCAGAGCCAAGACGCCATAGATGAAGGAGAGTCTGCAAGACAGACTGGGAAGACTGACCCGAGACAGAACCAAGGGAACTGGCGGGGTCACCACCAGGATGAGTAAGTGCCCTGGACCACAGAAAAGTGAAAACCTGAACGACAGTTAGGAAGGTCACTGTGGCATATAGACAGACAGCAGCTGAATGGGTATAGGACATTTGAAGCTGGTCTTTGACAGGTATCCAGGGAACACAGCCCGACTGAAGCAGCTGTACAATTTCTGGATTTCCCACTTGAGAATCTGAACTGTCCCATGAGAGATTCCTTGCAAGTTTGTTACACAAATAAAGGGCAATGTGCGTTTTGTATTTATTGGTCGATAATTACCTTCTCATTGGAGGGGGAAATTCAATGCTGTTTGAGCCACAATTCTGATAATGGGAAGCTGGCAGGGTCTGCTCTCCAAAGCGTCGCTCTTTGTACTCCATCTCCATCTAGTGGTGCGTACAGACACGCTCAGTTTACAGTAAACGCTCATGCTGTTCCCACCTGATTTGTGGGGTGCCTTGCATGTAGCTCTAAATAACTGTGATCCCACTTGCGGAAGCTTATTCTGTACCTAGGTAAGAGGTCAGGCCTTACAGGTTTCAAATACTGCAAAATATTTTACATATTTACTTGACTGGAAAAAGCCAGAGAAGCTGAGCTGAATACTACATGCAAGGATCTTGGCTTTCTTAATATATAGTAACAGTCCAGAGAAAGTCAGCTGCGAACTGCAGCTACCTCTCAGGATCCTGGGAGGACTACCCGTCTTACAGAGCACCTAGCTGCCCAGATCCGATTGTGGCCTTGTTACATGAGACGTGGTACAAACAGGCTGCCTGCAGAGCCCCTGCGGAGCAACACTGCCCTAGTGATGCACCAAACAGATGATATGGGACTGCTGCTTTTCTGTGAAATATGCCATTTTTACATGCATCTCAGAAGCAATGCAAGGTCATATGACTGGCACATGGGATCGAGAATGGCTCCTGCAGCTCCTCATAAGCTGTTTCATGCTTGAAGGGTAAAAGGAAATAAACTCCGCAGCTGAGGTGCTAAAGGCAGAAGCAGCCTACTGGGAGCAACACACACCAGCTAGGGACAGAGCTGCACTGCATCAGAATGAGCTGCAAGCTCAGAAGGCACTGGGCACCTGGATGCTCTTCCAGGAAGAGAGTAGGATAAAGATGAACTTCCACCTCCAAGATGCACAAATTTTTTCTGCAACAGATGTAATGCTGGGTCCACCACTGACAAGTCATCGGATGAGACTTGTACATCTGTATGTTTCAGATGAAAGTGAAGGACGCGTTTCCTAAAGGACAAAAAAGGTAGCCTACAAACTTGCTGAAATGTGCTTTACCAAGGCACCTTTTGGCCATTTTAAGGCTGACAGTACGGGAGAGTTTTCATTTGTTTGTGCTGGACGCATCACTTAGTTTACCTGATGGCAAAAGGAAGCTCAGCTGCCTATACTGTGTACCTGGGCATGGGAAATTCAAATGCTAGTCACGGTGCCAGGGTATTTCATACACCACCACTTACTGAAGGGGACAGCAGGGTGATCTACTTTTCTTCCTCCCTTTGCAATGAAGAGCCTGAAGAGAACCACAGCCTAGTTATGAGGCTTCACATTGAGGGGTAAGGGGAAGATGAAGACAATCAGCTACAATAACCCTGGAGACAAAGAAGTCTCCCTCCTCTTCCATGTGAAACGCTCTGTGAGCACAAGGTACCGCAGCGAAATCCAAGAGGAGGGAGGGCATGGAACGCCACATGGCAGATGTGCTTTCATTTGGGCACAGATCCCTTGAGATCCTCATTCCTCCTCCCTGCTCTGTCCAGTAAGAGAGCACCAGACATTAGACCGGCCCCTGGAACAGCCCGCTCCCCTTTTCCTATGCCACTGAAGTCAATTCTTTTGGAACAGTAGTGGAAGTTTCTTCAAACTGAGATGAAAATCTGTTCCTTTTCACCTTGAGGCTAGTCTAAGACACGATGTTAGAAAATTCAGAGTAAGGGATGGTTTCCCCACCCAGGCAAAGGGCACACAAGGAAAAGAAAAAGCAGACATTTGCAAAGCCTCTGAAGGAATCTGGAGGCCCATTTTCCATTCATTTTATTGGGTATCCAAGTCCTCCAACAGCTTTAAAAACATCTCAGCCTAATGGTCATGAATGGCAGGCCTCAATTCTAAAACAAATCCTGCCATTTGTTGGGTCAGTCCATTGCCTCATTGTTGAATAAACTAAGGACCCCACCTGGCATGGGTTATGCACAGCCTCTGACTTCTACTCTCTCTTGCAGGGTGGGAAAGACCAGGAGTGCTCAGCAGTGCTCTGTAACACCCCCTAATGCTGCCTTAGCAAACTGATGGTGACTAAATAGCATGTTCTGTCCCCTTGTCTGCCCCGCCAAGTGCAAGTCTCCAGTACCAGTAACCAGCAAGGATGGAAGTGGCATGTGTAAGACATCAGGCTTGCAGAAAGGCAGCAATGTTAGAGCACACGCGTAGACATTGTTCCAGTCATTTAAATAACACAGTGATAGGTACAGCGTGCAAACAAGAATGTGACTTCTGCATTGGGTGTAGGCAAACTCATGAGCAAGAAACCAGGACTGTGCAGAGGGGGTCAGACTTCACGCAGGTGGAAGCAAGTCGTTGCGCTCTCCTGGCTCAGATCAGAAGTGCAGCAGGGTTCTCCCAAAGGGAAGTTACCAAAGCCTCACTCTGTCTGGGGCTGGAGGGTTGGTCACTGTGACACCAGGCCCTTACAAAGGTATAATACTGCTCAGAAGGCTCCTCCACTCCCTTTCTTCCCCAGACAGAGCGCCTCTTAAAGCTCAGACTGCGCTCCTGAGACATTCGGGATGCTGGCAAACATGAGAGCACACACAACAATGGAGACCAGCTACACTTCTCCTACGGGAGGCCTTGAACATATTTTTTTCAGAGGAAATAAGTCAGATGGAGCAGATTCTCCTGTTTTCTGCCCTCCCCTCCCTACATACATACTGCTTCATGGCTATCAGCTTGGAGTCCATGCTCTCTTGCTTTCCCTTCATCACCTGGACGTCAGTCAGTAACTTGGTTACATTGTCTTGTCGAACCTTTATATCCTCATTCTTTATACTGGATACCTGGAGACAGAACGGAAAAGGTCAGTGGTGTTTGCTCTTACAAAACAGTTGCTTAACTGTCAAAGGTAGTACAGCAGGTGAGCCATCTTCCTCCCCCTCCAATGCCTGGGTTGCGTATAGCTGAATCAGATGGGCTCACAGCAGTCATCTACAAGAACATCGTTACTTGCAGAGAATGAACTCTTCCCCCACCCTAAATAAGCTGAATCTCTCAGCTCAGAAAGGCAAACATTAAGGCTGGTACAAAGCCAACAGCTCTCTTGCAGCCCCAGAATGACAGCGCACAATCTTCCATCACATGATGGGATAGCTATATTGGCTAGCACAGCATTTCTAATGCTAAAACTCAGAGGCCAGGAAGAGCAAGGGAGCACAATGACAGCTGGGATTTTATTGAAGATACACAGCACATAATCATGCTGCTCCACAAGCCAGCACACTGCAGTTAGCAGAGAACACGGCTCTTAGTGGGTGCCCCAATTTTTTTCTCTCTTTTTGCTACATTTATAAATGGTTAATCAGAACCATTTGAAAGGCAAAGGGAGAAAAGCAAATGTTCACTCTGCAGCATGGAGAATGAGCAAGGCCAGAGCTGAAGTGGGATGGGGAGCCTCTCACTATAGAAATGATGAGGGGGCTACTCAGGAAGCTTTGCAAGTGCTAAAGCAGGGAAGGGAGGGACCTGTTTCATTTCCCGGATAAAGAGCTCATAAGAAATGACACCCAGGCACACTTCACAAAAGCTGCAATGTGTGAGGACTCTGGATCTGCCAGCAATTACAGGGGTTAGTACATCTCACCTATTCAAAAGTAGGTTCCCCCAGCCTCCCCTTGCCCACAGGCCATATATCTTTGGGATCTGCACATCACAACTTCCTAGAGCACGCGCCCATTGTGCAGATGTCTGGAGGTGCTAAACGTGTCGCAGCCAAAGAGGCACTTAATGTTACGTGAAATTATCCCAGGGCTCCATCATGCAGTTTTGCCTGCTGCTCTCTACAGGTGGCTTTGAGCAATATTTGGAAAAGGATAACTAAAACCTGGATGGCTGCTACTGATCAAGCCATATTTCAGAACAAATAGAGCTGCTCTGATAGTTTAGAAGAAGTTTTTGGCACCGAGTACTGGCTGGCTGCTCCTTTAAAATGCTCTAACAAAATAATTAGAGAACCAGCCATGAACAAGGCAGCGCTCTCACAAACACAAAAAGCAGGATTTAGGTCTGAACCCTCTGACCCACCCATGAGGCACAAGTAAAGTTCACACCATTAGCTCTGGCAGCAGGGGAGTCCAAACTGGCCAAGGTTATCCTCCTCGCTAGACACCTGACTTACTCACATGCCAACATGACCAGAGGTGCCTTCTGCTCATGTCAAAACTGAGCACTGCATGTGGAGACCCCAACATTAGAGAGCCCACACCTGTACGAACCGCGGGTAGCCGAGTACTGTCCCAGTTTAGCGCACCAATTACCATTTGGAAAACGGGCTGCATGCCAGCCAGTTTAAAATATTTTTTAGTCGTCTTGAATAAAACCCTTTGTTTCTTGCCGTTCCCATTACCAGCAGAGCCATCATGTGATGGATGAAATCAGAGTCTCCTCTTCAAAGGGTCTAGAGAACAGAGTATGGTTTTTCTCATTAGGTTGAAAAATACCCCAAGTGTTCAGCCCATGGCTGCATTCCTCCTTCCAGTTCTACAGGAAGGTCCGATTGCTCTGTGACTCTTCCCTAGGGGAAAGGAAAGTTTGTCGTAACCTCCGCTAGACCAGGCCTACACAGTAAAAGGAAAAGGAGAGGTGTGGAGGGGATGCTAGCTTCCCGTTTGCACAGCCAAAGACAAACTGGTTTCCACATTAACCAGTTGTTTCCTTCAGGGTGTCCTGAGCCACCTCAGTCAAACCTGGTGCCAAGAGGGCAGTAAGAAAGCAATCAGAGGAAGTGGCACACTACACACCTGCTGCAAGCTGATTGGCAGGTTGGCACAACACCGTGCGACTGAACGAGAGGCAAGGTGGGGAGTTAACTAGAGAAACAGCTGGCAAAGAACGAGACTTGCAAGGCCAAAATCCCCATCGCACCCCGCAGCACACTGCTACTTTTCTGACTAGCCCTGTTCGCTCTGAAACGCTTTACCTGGGACCTGCCTGAAATAGCTGTTTTGTACACTTACACTGGTTACTTTCCTCTTGATATTCTCCAGGAGATGATCCTGGCCTCGGATGAAATACGGATGCTGGAATTCAGTATCGTCCTTCTCTGGCTTCACCAAACCTCCCTGCTCGATGTGGACAACCTTTCGAAAGCCATCTGAAAGTCAGAGGTGAATAATTAGAGCAAAGCAGCACAATCTGAAGTTGAACTGAGGAGCACAATCTTGCTTGCCAAGGGTGTGCACACATGGTAGCTTATCAATACGACACGGGATTGGAGACCGAGCCTGAGAAAAGCTATGAAACGTATATGCCCCTTTCCCCTGTTCTTGTGTTTGCATTCCAGCAGTTGCCCCTCTGATTTTTGACACAGCCAACCCCCAAAACCTTGGGGGAGTGAGAGATGCCTCCCCTATAGTGCAGCAGCAGACATTCAAATAATGTTCCTCTCTGCTAGGCAAGGCAGTCTTATGCCCTCCTCCCAACTAGTCTTCCATATGCCACCCCAAGAGTACAGCAAGCTGGGAGTCAGACAAGCACCTCAATTTTTCCCAAACATCTCCAACAAGCTGCCGCCCCCGCAGTGTCCTTGAACACAGAAAGCCCTCCAAGTCTTGAGCATCGGGAGACCAGGCAATATCCTAACTTGTCATTTGAGCAGCAGAAGAAAAATAGTCTGCTGAACAGTGAGTCTCAGTGCGAGGCCAGACAAGGATTTTCAAACAAGATGCTGCACGGGACTGGGAGGTTTGCAAGTCATTGAATCTAGGGGGATAAAGCAGTTCCCATGAACTGCATGCTGGTCCCAACGTGCTGGGCAATGTCAAGGATGAGGACAGGACAGGAGTGCTCTATCGCTTCATCCACTACTGAGAGCACAAACACTTGTGAAATGAAACCTTGCAGCTGTGCAGCAACAAGGAAAGAACGCAGCCATATTTAACTGAAACAGTCAAAATTGTTTCTAGAGGCAGAACAAAAAATGACCACACTTGGAACCTGGCCAAGACCTTGGTGCTCACAGATCCAGCACGCCAAGGAATCTTTAAAGAGACAACGGGATCAGAATCTTATTTCATTTCTTGTCAAAACGATGGCAGTGTGATGTCTCCAACCATACCGAGTCTGCGTGGGTGGATGAGCTGCCTCCTGATTTTAATCTAGTGCTCCCCGTAGTACCCGAGTACCACGAAGCATTGTTCTCACCCTGCAGATGCAAAACCTAGGTGGAGATTAAGTGATTTGTCCAAGGTCACACAGCAGTCGGGGGCAGAGCATGGAGGACAGTTCTCAAGTCCCAGTGCAGTGCTTTAATCAGAGTCATCCTTCCTTTCAGCAGCACATCCTGGCTGCACCTTGCGAGTCTCCCCCCAAGCAAAGCGACCTGGCGCTTGCATTATATTGTACACGTTCTAGGTACTATGAGAACATTCATTCTTAACAATCCTTAAGGCATTACACCCCCATTTTAGAGAAGAGGCAGCCAAGGCTCAGAGGAAAAACGACTTGCCAGTGAGTCAGAAGTGGAATTAGAATAGGAGACCTGATTTAAACATTGTACTTGCTCCCACAGCCCACATTGTCTGATTTAAGTGCCAGATCCGGGGTTTTTTTAAGCCATTCTTAGCACTGTTTGTAAGTTTGAAAGATGTAATTTGTTTCAGCTGACGGCACAGTATTGTCTTGGAGACTCGCAAGTATAGGAGACCGGTAACGCTGAAAATGAGTTCCTCTGCAGAAACGCCACCCTAAAAGGGTAGCATTAAAGGGTAATATTACAGTATTGGCTGGGGATTGTGGGAAGGTTAATAAGTGGGTTTAATTATCTTGATGAATCTGGTGTTCCAGCAGAACATGGCTTATCAGCTTCTGCACTGAATTAAGAAATGGCTCTGGCTTGGATTCACCCCAGGCTGGGAACCTCAAAACAAAGCACACCAGCTTTTTGCATGGTGATGTGTAGCTGACAGAGCAAGAGCCCACAACTAGGAACTTCCTGGCTGAGAGCAGCTTGCTAGGACTTCAGGGAATAAATATCCAGGCTACATCAATGGGACTATTAGGTGGAAGACATGGGAGGTGATAGTGCCTCTCTATGGGGTGCTGGTTGGGCCTCATCTATGTTACTGCGAGCAGTTCTGGGCTCTGTGTTTTAAAAAGGACATGGAGCTTTGGGAGAGGGTCCAGAGGTGGGTGACAAAAACAATCAGTGGTTTGGAAAGCAAGTTGTATGACGAATGGCTGAGAGAACCGGGAGGAAAGGTGGCTAAGGGTGGCCATGACAGCAGTCTTCAAACCTCTGAAAGGCTGTCATAGAGGCAGAACATCTGTTCTCCCTTGTTGCAGAGGCCAGGATATGAATCAATGGCTTCAAAATTGCAGCAGAGTAGAATTTAGATTAGATCTCAGGGAAAAAAACAACAACAACAAAAAAAGCCTGCCTTACTATTAGAGCAGGGAGGCAGTAGCACAGACTGCCCAGGGAAGTGGTGGGATTTCCTTACTGGGGGTTTTCAGGAGGAGCCTGGATAAGCTTTGGTCAGGGATGATTTAAGACCAGCAGGGCTGCATTCACACAGGGGTTGGACCAGATGACCCCCGAGCTGCCTCCAGTCCTAGGACTCTGTGTTTATGGCCTGTGGAGGAGACGGTGGAATTGCAATTCTCCTGCTCTGCGGGGGATGGACTAGAAGAGCAACAAGTCAGAAAGTGCTTTCTGAGCAGTTTAGGCAAAAGCGAGAGACTCAAAACTTCAAATGCACTTAGACCATCTAAAACACTCAAGGGCAAAGTACTTTTGGAGTGCACCAATTTTGTAAACTCCAAGATAAATCAAGAACGGTTGTTCTTAAGTGTTGTTTGAATTTGTTCGACCACAGCTGTGGCTGAAAAGAGCTTCCTGCACTTGCAGCAAGTAAATGATTTAGAGAAACTGTACATTGCTGTAGTGACATGAGCCAGTTTTTCAGTTATTCAAGTGATCCTTCAAAACTAAAAGCCCTGGTCACGAACCACAGAGAGAGTGTGCCCCACCGTTATCCAGAGAACTCGTGGTGAAAGGTAATGAAACTGTCATCCGTTCTAACCACACTGGAATGCTTCTAAACCCCACATCTGGAGCATTACCACTAATCCTTAATACAACCCCCACATGACAGTGTATGAAAGGCATCCTTTATGTCGCTGCCTATCGCAAGAACTCAGTGCCAAAAGGTAAATACGGGTGCTTGTGTGCAGAGAGGAAGCTGAGCAGACTGTCATGAAGCAATGTCTCTGGGATAATCCCAGAATGCCCCTGCTCTCTGGCAGGGGAGAAGTTACAAACACTCCTCACAGTCTGGAAGTGTTTGCACACACAGCTCCGTGCTCCCTTCTGTGTTTGAAAAGCAAGAGAAGAGTTAATTGGTGCAATTGTTTAGGGAACAGAAGAGACAGCAGAGAACATTTCCTGATCTGCAGCGAATGCAGACCTAGCTTTAATGCCGTGCAGGAATAACGATGTATGGAGCGACAGCAACGGGAATGGCTGTCAAAGGCCAAGCACTCCTCCATTTCCAGAATGGCAGCTCCCTCTGCGGAGGCAATCCACAATGCAAGAACAGCAGCAAGCACAGAAAACCAGAGGCTTTCCTGTATTTTCTCTAGGATGTTCATCTCGTTGCTCACCATAGGCTCCTCGGGTTGAGTGGTGACCAGTTTTCACAGTCCTTGTACTAGTTCAGTCACTATTCACATTTCCATGAGCAAATTAAATTGATCAGATTAGCCCCCTAAGATAACTCCCAAGTTACACCATGGGCCCATATAACCTAAAACTGTAAAGTTTTAACACGTAAGTTTTAAACAATTTGAGAAGAAAATAGAACAATAGTTTCATCTCCATAGAGAAGTCAAATGAGCAGATCCTATTAAACAGAGCAGATCAATTTTAAACCCCAGATTCACAAGCTTAATTTTATATCTTGCTTCAAGTTTTGTTCTTTCAACAAATAGGGCACTTAGTCTAGGGACATGCTCCGAAATCACCTTGGAAAGTGGACTCGGCAGAGACGTAATATTCTTCCTGGCTAAAATAAATATAAAACCCGAGCAGCCACCTATCAAATCCAAACAATTCCCCAGATACCTCCAGACAAATTGAGTTTTGCTATTCCACATTGCGGCAGGCCAAGCTCAGTGTTAAAATTCAGTCTTAAAAGTTTAAACCACATTTTTCCCGTCCCAAGCAGGCACTTATCTGCTCCAATCCTGTGCTCTGCCATAAGACAGTCTGGCCAGACGTTTCCCCAGAAGAGACGGGTGCATGCATACCCTTAGTCAAGGTTTATCTCCCTGAGACCTATTTCGGGTTTGGCTTGCCATCATTCTGGAAGCAAGTCACACTGCCATGAAAGTGTAGACAAATATAAAAGAAAGGGCATTGGAACAGAGGATATTTTTGAAGCACTGGCTGAGTTCGTCAAATCACCCTGGTAAATACAATGCCCAGGAGGATTAGAAAGCTGCTTTTATGGTACAGATATTTCATAATAAGAAAAAAGCTTCTCAGGCAGTGCCTCTTGAGAGGATTATTTAAGGCCTCTGTAAAAGCAGGTGGGGCTAGCTTTTACCCCCAAGGACAAGACATGCCAACTACCACAACAACAGAACCAACAGGCATGACATGACATGACAAGACATGACATGACCTGACATGACCTCCCTATAACAGGAAAGGGGCTGACTTTCAGGCTGAACTTTTTTCAGAACTTGAAAAGGTAAGGGGGGAAAAAAGTCACTTAAAGCCAAGGTAAGGGGATCATGCCTTGATTGTTTTGGGAACTGGACTCTTGGAAGATCTCTTCCAAGGCTGCTCTAGGTTGCTTTATTCACATGTCAAAATTGTTTGGATCAAGGAAACTAGAAAGACTTGCTGTAACAGATTAAGTCGTTTTCTCTGGACTCTGTAGCCACAGGAGCTAAAGAGACAGGAAGCTCTTGATGGTTTTTCTGCATATTTTTTTCTTCACTTTTTTTGTCTGCTCCACTAAGGTCTAAGAGTACGAAGAGTTTTGTACCATTTTCAGTGAGGAGTATAATTTTTCTACCAGAATGAAGTCTGTGCAACCTTCAGCATGGACAAAGCAATGATAATATAAGAACATACATACTTCCCTTTCCTACAGGAAGGGCCATACGTATACGAGGCCATCTTTTATACTGGTAAAACTGCATCATGCTAAGGGAGTACAAGTTTGATAGACACGCATCTCATTTGTGGTACAGTGTATATAACTAACAGCTGAGTCACAGATTGGGGGTGAAACCTCCTGAGCCTTAGGGCATGGTGTTTCTTGGGTTTTAACCCTGTGCCCTGGCCACTGATGCGCTTATTTTGCCTGCTTGTTTAATGCCATCTCATCCGATTCCTGCTGTTGTGAAAAAGGAGGGTACTGACACTTGTATGAATGCCCACCTGAGGCTTTTAAAGTTGTACATAATTAAATGGGGACTTTCCAACAGGCTGCTTTCTTCTTGTTCTAGTTTTATGATCAGCTCTCCTGGGTGATGACATCAGAAGCAAAAGCAGCAGCACTTTTCTTATACACCAGTGCTTGGGTTTACCCTCTTCCAAAGAGATCGAGAGCATGCCAGTACTAGAAGCAAGGGTGGCTTTCCCCTTAGAAGAGCAATGTCTCTCAGATATAAGACTGTTATGGTGACACGACAGGTGGGCAGTGCTGCTGCAGACACCAAGTGGCTGGGCGTATGAAACCCAGCCACCTCAACGAGCAATTTCTGCCAAGCAGCCTAATAAACTGAATGCCCTTGGCTGCCAGGAGAGGGCAGGAGAGGAGCTGTGCTTGCTGGTACGGAGCAGTCGGAAAGATCAGAAGAGGTAGGCGATTTGCAGATGATCTACTTGAATGGCTCTTTGCTGGCACATAAGGAACTCAAAGTGGCTGACCTCTTCATCCCAGCTGGCTTTGATTTCTTGGGAATGTCTCTGCTCAAGGCTCACTGGCAGGAGAGAGCTGCCCATTTTCAACGGTGACTTGCAGGCAAGTGTCACCTTTCCCAGACCGGACTGTCACAAGCAGGGGCAGGGAGGGAACAGTCCAGGATAAATGCAGCATCTGGACAGATTCCAGCACTAGCCGGAGTTATTTAATAAGGTCAAGTTTGATTGGTGAGACTTGACAAAAAGGTTACTGGCAACAGCTGCACTTGACACGTAAGAAGGAACGAGCCAACTTGCTCAGAGCGTGCTCAATCTGAGAGGACGAGAAGTTTGACGGGGATCCCAGGTGGGTCCCCTCCTGGTGACGGGTGTGCATGGTGGGGATACACAACTTAATTAAAAGAATAAGGGCACTTGGAGCACAAAAAAAGCACAGGGCTCTTGTTCTATTACTCAAGGAAATGGCTAAACGCAAGTGGGTCTATCCAGTGCCACCAGGCTGTCTGCTCCATCAGAAATGCTCTAATGCAAGTTCTTTTTTCTCCAGCGTTACAATGCTCTGCAGGGGCGGGGGGGTTCTCCTTTCCCTCAGCACAAGCTGACCGATACACTTATTCTTGGTCTCCAGAAATCCACCTAATACATTCTTGGTGTCTCTGTGTTCCCAAACCAAATCCAGCCCTTCCAGCTAAATAAAGGTACAGGCAGAAGAGGTGACCACCGCTGCAAGATGCATTGGCGCTGGATTCTGGAGCGACGCAGGGTACTTACACATGTTGAGCTGCCGAACGAAGCTGGCCATGTTGTTATGTTTGAAGTACTTCGGAAGCACCTCCTTGGCAAACTGGCCTTGGTCAAACACATGGAAGCTGTTTCCGCTCTGTTGGGAAAAACCAGTGAAAGGGAAATATTACAAAACCGCACGGTATCAATCTGCAGCTTCCACCATATTTCCCACTATTCTTAACTTCAGATGGCATGAGCCAGTCTGACAGGGAGGTGGGCCACGTGGGAACCTCTGGCTCTACTTCTGATGACACTTAGAGGGGAGCGAGTTAAAGATGCACCAATTTACATCTCAACAGTGTGCTGAGGTGGCAGAAGCAAGCAAGATGTGAACAGCCAGCGACCAGGGCTTTTATACTTTTTCACTCATTTTGTAAGGCTCTCCAAGGTAGCCTGACATCTTAAAGCCGATCATGCAGTCCCCCCTCACAGAATACCCTCGTGGCAACCAGAATTGCTTATGAAAGGCAGCATTAGAGGTGGAGTCGTAGTACTGTATTTAACTGATAGAAACAGGAATACAGTGCAGTGCCTTGTAACTGAGGCCCACTCCGATCTAAAGCAGGGGTTCTCAAACTTTTGAGTCGCAGTACCTCTGCACAGCTTTTCTGAACGTGGCAGTACCCCTGGTTGAGAACCACTGTGCTCAGCTGGCCTTGGGCATTCAACTGGGTGCAGCTGCTACCGGATAACATTAGCCCGTGCTCCTGCCCCACCGTTGCGCTGGGAAGGGCTGCAACACGTGCCCGTGCCTCTGCCTCACTAGGGTTCGATACGCCTACAGCAGGTAGGAGAGCTGGGGCAGTTTTACCTGGTCACTGGTGCTGCCATCTGCACTGCGACACCCGAGTGAGGTCTTGTGGCAGCCGGTTAAGAACCACTGATATAAAGCAACGCCCAGTCTGTCCGTGGGCCAGAACCAGCTGATCCAGATCCTAGGGCAGCCCTGATCCAGACCCCAGGGCACCTTGCCCCCAATCTAGCTGAGTGAGCAAAGAGGGCTTGGCCCAACCCCACAGGAGAAGGAAAGGAGGCATGACTTGGCCCTGATCCAGTCATGTTTACGGAAGGAGTGTGACCCAGCCCTGCAGGAGGAAGGGTGCATGGCCCAGCCCGCACCTGATCTGGATGTATGGGGCGGGGGGGTGGTGGTAGCATAGCGCAACTCCGACCTGCCTTGTGGGGCTTGGAAATTTGGAAGCAGGGGTCAGTGGCAGTATTAATTGCCACTGCTCCCCCACTGCCATATTCTCTGAGCCCATGGACCAGAGCTTGAGCATCCCTGATCTAAAGCATAACAGTAGAGTAAAACTCCTTAGGGGTAGGAAAAATGAAGCAACCTACAAAGACTAAAATTCAAGTGCCAAATGGTAGACCACAGCCTCCCCACTCCACATGCTCTTTTCAGATATTCATTTTCTAGGTGAGATGCAGGGCCGTGCAAAAAGAACTAAGCTAGGGCCAGACTTTGGACTTCAGCACCCGCAGCCAAACGGATTCCCACGCTGTATGCCTTCATTACCAGAAAGCACATCCAAGTTCAAACTACTCCGGACACTGCAGGGGCAGAACCGACTAGCTAGGAAGAACGTGCGTGACATTCCCTATCACAGCACTTTTATTATACGAGAGCCAAGGGCTACGACGGCTACAGGTACCGCACGAGGCTTGTGTTGGAGGGGCCTCACAAACCTTATTCAGTCAATTTTTCACAGACATGAGTGTTATTTTTATGACCTATGTTTTTCCTAATAAAACACAATCAGATATCTCTTCCACTGAAACCCTCAGCCAGTTTTGGTGTCAGATTTTAGAAAATAAAATAAGTTAGCACCAAAGAATAAAACCTGCCTCGAAACTAGTAGCAGCCCAGCACGAGTAATGTTTCAACTATTTAGAATTAAAATGTGGACTGATGTTATTGAATAGCATTTCATTGCTTTTCTGGCATAGGAAGGAGGAATTATATTGTCAATATAATAGCGTCTATAAACCAGGGAGAAAAAAATATTCTCTTTCTGGCAGAGTGACACAAGAACCTGGAGTTCATTTTATGACTTAGATTATCTTTCATGGCAAAGCTCTGCCGCTGATCCATCTTCCTGTTAAGACAATTGCACCCGCTGAAAGAACAAACAGCTCCCAGTAATACTAGATGAGAACCAGGCCAGACAACTTGCTGACAAACCATTACAGGCAACAAAATAATTGTCCTTTCTGGTTCAAAGGGATAAGTGCAGCTCCAGATTAGACCACCTGATGCGTGTGGGGTCCTACAGCTTTCTGATCTTCTGAGCCACGTTTCCACTTAGTATAGCAACGATATGAAAGGACTTTAAAATCTGGAGCTGCTACTCCAGAAATAACTTAGGCCAGGCTGCTCAGGATAATATTTTTTGGCATACCCCTCCCGTGCACAGTCACATACTGCCGGCACATCTTCTGGGTAAGCAGCAAAGCTCCCTGCTGGCTACAGTGAAAAACACGCTGGTGGGTTAGCACAAGTGCCAGCTCAAAATGATCAGTGCCCCAAGGCACGTGGACCTAAATCAAGCCGGTGCCTCAGACCAAAGGGATGCCAAAGAGCAAACAGCCTGAGGCGCTGACATCTACTCCCTGTAAAAATAAAAGGCCACAATTTTCAGAGGCAACCAGCAACTATGGATATCCAAATGGAGACATTTAAATTTAAAAGGCCTTATTTTCAAAAGGTCACAGCTTCCTTTAGAAATTCTTGCCCAAATCCATTGTAGCATCCTTGAATGCCCCGATCAACTGAAAGAATAGCTTGAAATGAACACAGTGACATTCAGGGACAAGTGGGAAGTACTATATACAAGAAGAAAAAAAAATCAAATGCATAAATAAAATTGAGAAATGAGTGGCCAGGAGGCAGTAGTGCAGAAAAGGACCTAGAGGCTACAATAAATTGTAAGCTGAATGAGTCAACAGTGTAAGACCACTGCAAAAAGGCTAACAGAGTAGTGGGAACCATTAGCTTGTATATGGCACTCCTGTTATGGGAAGAGATTCTTCCACTCCCGTTAGCACTGCCACAGCCCTACTCTGATAGCCTGCATCCAGGTCTGGGCACTGCACTCGGAGAAAGAGGTGGACAAATGGAAGGTAGGCCAAAAGCAAGCAGCAAACACAGAAGTCTCAAAAACATGACGTGAGGAAAGTTGGAAACTTAGAATTATTTCATTTACAGATGAACGAGTGCAGGTTTGGTAGAAGTCATCAAAGATAAAAAGATTATTATAATTGTTCTAGCAACCAAGTGTGCCCAGTGGTACAGGGACAGCAGAAGACACAACAGCCTTCAGTTGCAACAGCGGAGATGGAAGCTGGCTGGGAGACACAACGTCTCAACCATGAGTGTGGCGTGCACTGGCCACATTATCAAAAGAGGCCGGGGAACCCACCAGTGGGTGTTTGTAAGTACAATATGGTTTTCTGGGATGGCTGAGACAGGGACAACCCCGCGCTGAGGGGCAGTGACTGAATTAGATGACCTCTGGAGGAACTTTCCAGCCCCGCTGTTTTTCTGTTTAAGGATTCTATAACACAAGGCTGGTTTTCCTGGGGGGGTTTTCAATAAAAGTTTTCAACGTTCAGTTTCTGTCTAGCATAAAAGTAATGGGAAATAGGGCCAGAAGGGACTGCAAGAGGTCTTTCAAGTCCAGTCCACTGCTCAAACCATCTCATCCAACTGCGTGTCTAATATTTTCTTGAAAACTTCCAACAATGGCAATTCTCCAACCTCTCTAGGTGACCTACTCCAGGGAGCCAAGCACAGAACTCTATCCCAGGGCTCACAGCTAGAAAGTTAGTCCGCCTCCGTTTCCCTCGTCTCCTCACCTGCGGACACAGAACAGTCAATATTACCTCTATCACCTCGCTGCACATATTTAAAGACGTACCAAATTCCCCCTCAGTCTTGCCTTCTCTAGACTAAGAAATCCCAGAACTTCCAACCTTTCCTTGCACGTCATGTTTCCTCGACCTCTAAAGCACTGTCGTTGCTCTCTGCTGGACTTGTTCCAGCTTACCTACATCTTCCTCAAAGTGCAGTGCCCCAACCTGGACACAGTGCTCCAGGTGAGGCCTCACCAGGGCGTAGAGTAGAAGAACCACTTTCTCTGACTTAGCAACTCTCCTGTTCATCTTAATACAATCAAATATGCAACCATTTTCTTCCTTCTTGCATTGTTGATGGTCCACTACATCCTTCAGGTCCATTTCTGCAGTACTGCAGCTAGCCAGTGGTTCACCAGTTTGTAGTTGTACATTTGATCATTTTGTCTCAAGTGCAGTACTTTGCACTGCCCTTTTTGAATTTTATCTGATTCATTTCAGACCATTTACCAAGATCATTTAAAATCCTAATCCCACCCTGCAGTTTGTCTGCTACTCCACCCCGAATCATAGAATCACAGAAAATGAGGGCTGGAAGGGAGCTCAGGAGATCACATCCAGTCCAACCGCTGCTCAGAGCAGGACCAGCCCCAGGTACATCAACCCAGACGAGGCTTTGTCGATCTGGGCCTTAAACACCTCCAAGGATGGAGACTCCACCACCTCCCTGGGTAGCCTGTCCCAGTGCTTCATCACCCTCCTGGTGAGAGAGTTTTTCCTAATATCCAGCCTCAACTTCCCTTGCTGCAGCTTGAGCCCATTGCTCCTTGTCCTGCCATCTGCCCCCACTGAGACCAGCCCAGCTCCATCCTCTTTGCAGCCTCTTGCACATAGTTGAAGGCTACTATTCAATCCCCCTTGGTCTTCTTTTCTCCAGACTCAATCAGCCCAGTTCCTTCAGCCTCTCCTCACCAGTCATGTCCCCCAGCCCTCAACCATTTTCATCCCCCCGCACTGGACACCCCCCCCCCCCCATTTGTCCACATCCTTTGTGCAGTGGGGGCGGAGGGGAGGAAGACAAAACTGGACACAGGACTCCAGATGTGACCTACCCAGTGCCATATAGAGGGGAAGAATCACTGCCCTCGATCTGGGGTCATCTGAACCCAGCACTC